AGGTATGGGCAGTCATTACAGGCCTGTCTGGCTTAAGTTCCCCTCAGCATACTTTGTTATACCAGGCCCCAAAAGCCCACTCTTCCTTGCACATAAGTCAGCTAAAGTGGCTTATATTTTTATTTGAGATGATTATAGTTCTCCAATTGGACCTTGGGTGACACTGCCTCTGCTTCTCTCCTTGCTGACTTCAGGGCTCACTGATGGCTGCACTGATTTTATTTCTCAGTCTTAGAGACTGCCTCCTTTGATATGGCATAATGTCACTTTTCTCATCATTATGTAGGTAATAATGTTTTCCTTCTCCCAGTCAAGTTGATTTTGCACTGCATATTCCAATTTATCTCTCCTCTCCCTTCCTAAAGAAGTGGAGTTCTTGCTTGCTGGGGATGGAGACAGGGGAAGCAGAGGGAAAGGAGAAAATTTGCATTGTGTATCAGCTTTTGTTGCGATATACCGTGTAACAAACACCACTAGATCTCAGCATCTTACATAGCCAGACATTGATTTTTCATTCATAGGTTTGTGGTCAGCTTTGGTGACTTCATTTCAGGCTCTGGGTCAAGTTCATGTCTGTTCTATGTGTCTACTTGGAACTTTTTCTTCTTATGGCAGAGAGCAGATAGAAGTGCGCACAGGAGACCAAGTCAAACTATACAAGCACATTTAAAGTGTCTGCTTGGTTGTGGGATACATTACATCTGTTCCCATTCTTCTGGTCAAAGCAAGTCACATGATCAAGGCCAATATTAATGGGATAGGGAAGTATATTCTTCCCACAGAGGAATGGTCAGAAAGGAGTGAGTGTATCAATAATACCACCTACTCTTTATGGCTGTGTTTCAATAGAGAGATTTGAAAAATTTAGCTATTATCAGTCTCTGGGAGTAGTTCTGGGCCCTAAAGAATTGGGAAAGAGAAAAAATAAGGTTTATAATTTGTTGTTGCTATTATAAATGGGGTCATATTAGCCTGTTTTCATGCTGCTGATAAAGACATACCTGAGACTGGGCAATTTACAAAAAGAAAGAGGTTTATTGAACTTACTGTTCCATGTAGCTAGGGAGACCTCACAATCATTGTGGAAGGTGAAAGGCACATCTCACATGGTGGCAGACAAGAAAAGAGAGTTTGTGCAGGGAAATTCCCTTTTCTAAAACCATTAGATCTTGTGAGACGTATTCGTTATCATGAGAACAGCACAGGAAAGACCTGCCCTCATGATTCAATGACCTCCCACTGGGTCCCTCCCATAACACGTGGGAAGTCAAGATGAGATTCGGCTGGGGTCACAGCCAAACCATATCATTCCACTCCTGGCACCTCCCAGATATGGTGTTCTCACATTTCAAAACCCAATCATGCCTTCGCAACAGTCCCCCAAAGTCTTAACTCATCTCAGCATTAACTCAGAAGTTCACAGTCTGAAGTCTCATCTGAGACAAGGCAAGTCCCTTCCACCTATGAGCCAGTAAAAATCAAAATCAAGTTAGTTTCTTCTGAGATACAATGGGGGTACAGGCATTGGGTAAATACAGCTGTTCCAAATGGGAGAAATTGGCCAAAACAAAGGGGCTACAGGCCCCATGCAAGTCTGAAATCCAGAAGGGCAAAATGATCTCCTTTGACTCCAGGTCTCATATCCAGGTCACACTGATGCAAGAGGTGGGTTCCCATGGTCTTGGACAGCTCTGCCTGTGCCTTTGTAAGGTACAGCCTCCCTCCTGGCTGCTTTCATGGGCTGGTGTTGAGTGTCTGCGGCTTTCCCAGGCACACAGTGTAAGCTGTTGGTGGATCTACCATTCTGGGGTCTGGAGGATGGTGGCCCTCTTCTCACAGCTCCACTAGGCAGTGCTCCAGTGGGGAATCAGTGTGGGGGCTCCAACCCCACATTTCCCTTCCACACTGCCCTAGCAGAGGTTCTCCATGAAGGTCCTGCCCCTGCAGCAAACTTCTGCCTGAGCATCCAGGCATTTCCATACATCTTCTGAAATCTAGGTGGAGGTTCTTAAACCCCAATTCTTGACTTCTGCACACTGGCAGGCTCAACACCACATGGAAGCTGCCAAGGCTTGAGGCTGGCACCCTCTGAAGCCATGGCCCAAGCACTGCATTGGCCACTTTCAGCCATGCCTGGAGTGGCTGGGACACAGGGCACCAAGTCCCTAGGCTGCACACAGCACAGGGACCCTGGGCCCTGGTCACGAAACCACTTTTTCCTCGTAGGCCTCCAGGCTTGTGATAGGAGAGGCTGACATGAAGACCTCTGACATGACTTGGAGACGTTTTCCCCATTTTCTTGGGGATTAACATTTGGCTTCTCGTTACTTATGCAAATTTCTGTAGCTGGCTTGAATTTATCCTCAGAAAATGGGATTTTCTTTTCTATTGCATTGTCAGGCTGCAAATTTTCCAAGCTTTTATGCTCTACTTCCCTTATAAAACCGAATGCCTCTAACATACTCAAGTCACCTCTTGAATGCTTTGATGCTTAGAAATTTCTTCTGCCAGATACCCTAAATCATCTCTCTCAAGTTCAAACTTCCACAGATTTCTAGGACAGGGGCAAAATGCTGCTAATCTCTTTGTTAAAACATAACAAGCGTCACCTTTGCTCCAGTTACTAATAATTTCCTCATGTCTATCTCCTCAGCCTAGATTTCATTGTCCATATCATTATCAGCATTTTGGTCAAAGCCATTCAACAAGTCTCTAAGGAGTTCCAAACTTTCCCACATTTTCCTATCTTCTCCTGAGCCCTCCAAACTGTTGTAACTGCTACCTGCTACCCAGTTCCAAAATTGCTTCCGCATTTTTGGGTATCTTTTTAGCAGTGCCCCACTCTACTGGTACCAATTTACTTTATTAGTCTGTTTTCATGCTGCTGATAAAGACATACCTGAGTCTGGGTAATTTACAAAAAGATAGAGGTTTATTGGACTTACAGTTTCACGTGGCTGGGGAGACTTCACAATCATGGTGGAAGGTGAAAGGCATGTCTCACGTGGCGGCAGACAAAAAAAGAGAGGTTTTGCAGGGAAATTCCCCTTTTCAAAACTACCAAATCTTGTGAGACTTATTCACTATCATGAGAACAGCACAGGAAAGACTTGCCCCTGTGATTAAATTACCTCCCACTAGGTCCCTCCCATCACACAGGAATTCAAGATGAGATTTGGATGGGGACCCAGCCAAACCATATCAGGGGTCTTTCAGAAATGCAAGTAAATTATTTGAGTGACTTTTAAAGTTATTTTTGGTTTCTGGACTTTCTTTTCCTGAATGTAATATTACTCTAAAATTGGACTACATGGATCCCTTGGCTTTTATTGGTTATACACATACTGATTAAAATTTGGTGCCAGACTTGTGAAGAGTTTGAAGTAAATTATTACTGCTACTCATTTGTTTGCAAATGTTCTCACTCATCTGGTAAGCCTACGTTGTTTGCTATCATGCCTATTTACTCCTTGGAAAAGGGTGTGTGATCTTTATTGGCATATCAGTTTGGATGTCTCTGTGGAGTTCTGCACAGCAGACCATTGGCAAGGTTCTGGTTTATCATAAGCTTTATTTATCACACAAGAAATGCACAACTCTATGGACATATTGGATATATGTGCTATCCAAGGTTCTTTTAAAATCAATGCTATTTGACAGTTTTTCCCAAAAATGATTAACCAACTTGAATCAAGAATTTCCCAATTACATTTAATTTCAAATATTCAAAATATCAAAATATTACCTTTCTGTATATTTTTCAATTTGAAATTACCTTGTATTGAAGAACTGGTTAACACTGCCTACAAATGAATTTCTGCTACACTAAGTGTGAATAACAGCTGACTCTGAATTGGGCTAATTGTGAACTAATTCAAATTGCTATTTCACTGTGGGGGTTGAGGGCAGGTGAAACTTGTCTTTTCCTCCTCAGCAAATTCTTTTTATAAGAACAGTGATACTTTGGACATGATGTTTATTTCCCATGAAGAACCCACATTACTTGATACGTAGATTTGTTTCTTCCATCAAACAGTCTCTGTTTCAAATTAAAACAGCTTCTTTATTCTTTTATAGTTATTTAGTAAAATGATGAAGTGTAAATAAATTTTTGTGAGTCATTTAGATCTAATAGTCAAAATAGTAGGTTTTGGACTCATAAAAACCTGGGTTCCTTCCCAAATCTACTCCTTTGATATGACATTCTTGGTAAATTTACTTCATGTCTCTGTGCTCAGTTTCTTCCTCTGCAAAATGTGGTTAATAATAGTAACTAATGTTAGGTGTGGTGGCTTACACCTGTAATCCCAGCTTTTTGGGTGGCCTAGGCAGGAGGATCGCTTTAGCCCAGGAGTTAAAGACCAGCTGGGCAACCTAGTGAGACCTCATCTCTACAAAAATTTTAAAAAACTTAGCTGGGCATGGCAGTGTGTGCCTGTAGTCCTAGCTGCTCCAGAGGCTGAGGAGTGGGTATTGTTCGAGCCCAGGAGTTCAAGGCTGTAGTGAGCTATGATTGCACCACTGCACTTTAGCCTGGGCCACAGAGTGAAATTAAAAAAAAAAAAATTATCCAGCAAGGTTTGTTGTGTGGACTAAGTGAGGTTATTGCAAATTACTTAGCATAATGTTTTGCTCATAGTAAATAATAAATATTAGCTATTAATATTATTTGTAACAGTGTTATTAGTGTAATGGATAACGCACGGATATGTGAACCTTAGAGACAAACATATAAATCATTTAGGGGTAAAACTGGCCTGGAGTTTCAAATATGCCTTTCTTTTTGTAAGAAAAAGAAGAATTTTTTTTGAAAAATCAACACTGAGAAATGCCAGTTGTAATTCGTTAACTGACCATTCTATGTCAAATAATTTTTTTGGTAGTACAAAATTTTAACTTTTTTAATCTTTGCTGAAGTTATCTGGAAACTCTATCTGGGACTTTTGAAGATATGGGAATTGCAAAAACTCTTTGTGCTTATTCATGTCTTATCTGTTTACTTTTATTCTGCACTCATTCCTATCATTGAAATCAGTGGTTCTCAGCCCTGAAAGTCTTTTATTTTAATGTTTTTATTTTATTGTAAATTGACAATTTATAATTGAATATGGATGTACTGTAGAATCACCTGAGAAGCTTTTGAAAATTCTGATGCCTGAGCCCCATTTCTGAATATTCTCATTTATTTGATTTTATGTTGTTGAGAATCTCTGGACTAGATCTCATTTTTGGAATCTCTCAACCACTTTCTTCTCTCTTCTCTTCACTATATGATCAAAGTATCGCCTTCTCTACAAAGCCATCCTTTTCAGCTAGGAGGACCAAGGTTACATTGCAATTCCAACTCCCAAATCTCAGTGGATGTAAAGGAACAAATAGCAATGCATGTCCATCCCACAGGATTGGAGGGGTTCTACTCCCTGACACCTTCACTCCATATGTCACTGTCACATTTGCTTAAGGTATTTGGGTCAGAATTGGCTACTGGCCACACCTAACTTCAAGGAGAGCGAATATGCCAGTGTCTCATGTTCCCAGAAGGACAAACCAAAACGTCTGTGAGCTACCACATGTGATGACACCGTGTCACACTTTGCTCCCCTCTTTTGAATTCCTGCTGCACTCATCTGTACCGTATCAAGATCGGTCACTTCATTGTATGCTATTTTGAATTTTAGATCTATTTTGAATTGTCCAAGGACAAGACCTTGGAAATCATGTGGTCTAACTTCCTAGCTGACTTTGGTCCTTAAAACGAAGAAGGATTCCAGTTTGTTTATTTTTAAACAAAATCATTAAAACAACAAATGTTGTCAACTCATTTTTTTTTTCCTCAGTGAAAGACAAAACAAACTCATAGTTGGAATGGAGAGCTACTGGGAGGAAATGCATTTCTGCCTCTAGCTGTTTCAGAGTGCATTCCTTATTTAGATGGGGCCTTATGTGTCATAGCACATTTCTGAAATGGTTACCTGTTTCTATTTGGTCTTGTGACTACTTGTACTTTAGTGACATTAATGGCTATGAAGGAAGTAAGACTTTTGGAGAAAATGATATTCTAGTCATTCCAAAGTTTTATTGAATACATTTTTTTTTTTTGCCATGAAATAGCCTTAGGAGATCTGCTGGCTAATAAACCAGACTTGATAATCACATCATGTGTATGGCAGAAATTATGCTTATTCCCCAGTGAAATAAGATTTCTCAGGTCTCAGTGGAGGCAGATGAATTTATCATTCTGAAACAGCAGGGTGGGTCATAGCCTGGGTGGCAAGCTTTGTAAATATTAATGGAGATTCCAAATTCCACTGCGTCTGCAGTAATTTAGAAGCAGTGTTAGCAGCGGAGGGTCAAAGGTGAAAAAATGACAACAAAAAATATTATGTGGGTGGGATTTGGATCTCTTTACTGTAAGAAAAATTCTTCTTTTTTGGAAAATTCTTTTTGTCTCTTCAGTGTATGTGGCCATCTGAGAATGTCTACATGATGCCAGACCATACTTTACTCTGAATATCCACCGATAAGGTTATTTGACCTCTTTCTCTCTAATTTCACAGTGTCAGTCTTTGAGCTGAATAATTTCAAACAGATTTGACTCCCAAGAGACCTTTTTCTTTGTGGAGCAAACCATGAAGAAACACTTGAATAGTGGGTGAAATGACGAATACTCTAAACCTCACAAACTATTAGGAATCAATTTCCCAAACATCATACCTAATTATTCTCCCTCCCCCATTTCAATTCAGGAATCTCAAGGTTAAGGAAAAGCAGCTGAAAAAACAGTATTCTTGGTTGGGTTCATGTAATGCCCATTTTTCGTTTTTTATAACTGTAGGATAGAAAGGAGAGAAATTTCTAAAATCTGCCTCTTTAATTGCCAAAAAAGAACACTCAGAGAAAGAAAAGTTTGTGCTATTATGCAGAGATGATAGTGTTGGCGGGAATCGTAGAAACTCCTCTTGTTTAGTGGTTCTCAAAATGTGGTCCTCAAGGGGACACCAGGGGTTTTCTGAGTTGGGAGAGACAGAAGAAGGAAGGGCAGGTGATTCAGCTAATGTGGTGGCCCCATGGCCAGGAGGGAGAAGTGGATTCCACAGAGGCTTCAGTAGAAGGCAGAGAACTTGCAGGTGATGCGAAGATGTGTTTGTGAATAATCACACCGGGTATGTCAGTGCTGTCCTAGTATTTGTACCTGTGGAGGTGCAGAGGCAGCAGATGATGGTGAATGGAGGGCACTTGGAATCAGAAGGCAGGAATAGGTAGTTTCAGTGCTCAGTGGCATGGGTCATCTTTGGACCTTTTCAACAGGTCCAAGATGTATAGAACAAATAGTTTAAGAATCATGCATCAGTCTAGGCCTTGTTCTGCATGTAAAGTTATTCAAGGCAGTCATCTGAGATAATCTGAAGACCAAGAATAGGTTCCACATCCACACTTTGTAGCAAGTTTAATGGTTGAGCCCCTTTAGAGTCAAAATTCGTATATGTCATATCTATCATGTAATTCCTGCTGAAGTCTAAGACTCCATTTCTTTTGTTAGGTACATTGAAGATGGAGAACAACTGATGTCAAGACACGTTTTGGTTGGAAGGGATAGAAGTCCAACTCCAACGGGCTTGCCAGGGATGGAACCTGCTGGCAAACATAACCAAACTGTGGGAAGGGCAGGGTATGGTTAACCTCAGGTTTCTGGAAGCAGAGTGTACAGTGCTGTGCCGTCCCTCTTCTCTCTGCTTCTCTCTGCGTATTGGCCCTATCCTCTCAGCGGGGCCCATGAGCAGCAAACAGCAGCCACAGGAAGCTCCAGTGTCAGTGCCTCCCACCACTTTCCTGAGAAGCAGCAGCCCCTTCGTTAGCTCCGTATCAAAGACATTGACGGGCAGGACTTTGTGTGACCCAGTTTGGGTCACATGTCTTTATTTGGGAGGAAATGGATACAATGATGGCAGCCCTCATGGAACCTCATGTGTAGAAGGCCAAATTTCCTCTCTCTAAAAGTGAAATGTCACTGTCCATTCAACTGATGAAAATCTTCCTTTTCAACAGGAAAACTACCATGATGTTATCTGTTGGGTTTCAGCTTCTTACAGCAGTCATCTTAAGAATTAAACTGGTATGGATAATCTGATTATGAACTCCTTGAGGGCAGGGACCATATTATATAATACTTCTGTGTCCTCTGCTATTTCTTAGCAGAATTTTGAAAATGTGCCAAGTGTTGACGTGGTTTGATCACTTGTGAGAATGGAGGAACCCATAATGTTAATAATTAATGATGGTTGTTGGAGTTACTTACCCAAAACCTTATGAACTTAGCCTTCCCTAGCAGATTTAGTTTCATAATTTGTTCGGTATAAGCAAACACTAAAAAGGGATAGGGGAAAGTTATGAGTTGAGTAGTTGGGGAAAAGGTCGTTTTCAGTTTTATTTATGTCTTAGGGCTTGACATTTTTTGTTTGCCTTGGAGGGGGTGCTTTTAAAAATTCCTTTTTTGAAAACAATAAAATCTTAGATTTTGGATAACAGATATTTCTGCACTATATACCTCACTTAAGATTTTCCAGGTAACATTTAAAAGTGCCTTTTATAGTTTTTCATACCATATTGTAGGGAAGGCCAGGGTCATTTTTAAAACTTAACTATGCTCAATACCTCCTCACCACTATAAAGTAAGGTCGAATGTTGGTTAAAGCAAAGCTGTCTGGAATCACCCTGTCAAAAGTACTGATTTATAATCTTGCTACTCACATTTCTTACTGTGGTGCCCTCCCTCTTGTTGGCTCCTACATCTTTGAAGTACAGGGGGAATGAACTAATATGGTAGCTCCAATATGCAACTAATCCTGCCAATGATGTCTCCCCTGGAAGTGTTTGAGAAAAGAATTTCTTTTCCCAGTACGGATTTATGTAAACATTTGTTCCATTCACGAGTAGCACATTAATGCCTAATTCTGGAAAAAATACAAAGAAAAAACCTTTTCTGCCTGTCTAGACAGAGTCTTGTTAGTGTATGTCTGATCATATGGGTACTCATGCCGGTAATATTAATTGGTGGGAAATGAGCCAAGGAAAGACAACCCTATCTACCAATTAAATTGACTGAGCTTACAGGGTGGTTTATAAAGTCAACATGCTGGGCAAGTCTTACATCTGACCAGGGAAATTGTTGTTTTCTGATCCCCAGTTGGCCGTCAGCCACCTCAAACACGAGACAGATGTTGGCTTTACTAGGGTCAGGGTTATCACAGGGTGGGATGAATAGTCTTTGGCTCTGGGGTTCGCTACTTTTCCTTTGCTGATGAATAAGAGCAAATAAAATTATTCCTGAATGCCTTGGGACTGGGGGTGGGGGTTCGTTTTCTAAAGCTGGATAGGGCCACCGCATACTAACGTCCTAGGGACAAACTTCCCGTGTCTCAGACGTTCTTATTTCAGTTTGTTTGATCTGAGGTCGACTGATTCCGTTATCTCAAAGGGCAAGGGTTAATGCCTTCTCATAAAGATAACAATGATAAACACAAACAAGGTATTCACTTTGATATATTGGTTTCTTATCCAGGGATCAAGGCAAAAATGTGGGAGAACTGAAAACACAGAGTTTGAAGTAAGCATCAAAGTAATTTGCCGGGTTTTGAAGTAGGAAGTTTTTTATTAATATGTTTTCTTCCAGTGGAATTGAGGTATATAGTAGCGTGAACTAAATGAAGGCTATGAAATTGGGAGGTGTATTTTGTGTTCGCTGTGTCAAGTGTGTGTGGACTGCACAGGTGATTCCTATCCACTTGTGCTCGTCCTTGGGACCGGTTTAGTTTCCATTAGGTGCTAAGGAAACTAGCCGTGTACCGTCAGCTCCCCCAGGATGAGAGCCATACCCGAGAGAACCCTGTCTGTGGGAAGGTAGTTCTTGCAGGGGTGGGGGGCAGCGGGAGGGATCCCGAGTGCTGGGACTTCGGGGTCCTTGTTAGGGACTGTCAAGAAATGTCATCTGACACTGGGCAGTGTGGGGAGAAGCAGGAGGCTGTGAATTAGTAAAACTTTGGATGCACTTCTGGGAGAGGAAAATACACATGCACCCTTTCACAAGGCTGAAAATACATAGCTACATCGGTATAATTTATTCTGGGAATTGCCTATTAAATTGTATTCCAGACACCAGGTTATATTTGGTGGTCTACTAGAAAATAGTATACTGCTTATCTATTTAAGGCTAAAAATCTCCCAGATTGCCTTTTAAGCCTACAATTGCCTATGAAAATAAACAGATATCTCCCTCCTTGCTTGAACTGCCTTTCTCATCTGCTCATTCTGGAATGCTCTTATAAAAGTTATCTGCCTCTCTGACCACATTAATATTTCAGATTCTTTCCTTGGTCAATGGCGGCCCTTCTTGTCACCTCATCCTCGTTGTGCTCCAGACTTTGCCTCACTTTGGCTTCATTTGGGGCTTCCGGGGCCAGGACTCATTCCCCGCTCTGCCAGCCCTCTCCTGGCACCCTGAGTATGTGGTCACCCCTGGGCCAGGCCTCCTTTTCCCTGATATCTCTCCTTGGTTCCCCTGGAGACATCCTTGATGTCCCTGTTGTCTGTCACGCTGTGCACCAATTCCCTTCTTTTGGGTGCCCCCTTTGCTCTCACACACCCTGTGCTCAACAAATTGAGGGCTCCCAACCCCTGAACTTTTCCAGCTGGAGCCTTTCCACCTGGCCTGCGCTGTCTAACTGTGCTTGTGTGCCCACCAGGCTCTCTCTTATTATCTCCTCCATTTATCGGGCATGATGTTTTGGGATCATTTTTGCCTGCTTTTTTTTTTTTCTTCTTCTCAGCCTACCTGAATACGACTTCAGCATTGCCACTGATGAAATGCAGCGTGCGCTGGATGTGACGATCCAACACAATGCAGGGCCATTCCTTCTCTGTGGACAAGCCCATGTTTTTGCAGTGGAGGGGCTGAGGCAGAGAAAGGCTTGAGGACGCGGGTTATGCTCTGGTGAAGCTATTGGGGAAGTCGTCAATTCAGGCCAAGCTCCGCCCTCCATGTGCTCCTTCATGAAGTGATTAAAACATGAGATCCGACAGTAAAATGAGTCATTAGGTTCACAGGAATGTTAGGCAGCAGAGATGTAGTTACGGAACTGCAGGTCATAGGTTTTTCTCATTTTTCTTTTATTTTGTGGCATCGTTGCTGTTTTGTGGAAAATTTTCTTTCTCGAAGTTGTCCAGCTGTGAGTCAGTTTCTTTGCCTGAGAACATTGTCTGGGGCAGCAGCAGAGCTATATTTTTCCTTCAGCCTCTATCACTTTTTTTTATCCCTCCAAAGGAAAAAGTTAGTTACATTATCTGACTTGTGGATTCGATTTTGGGTCTGTAATTGGCTGATGGAAGCTCTCCTGATTGGGAGTGCAGGGGAAAATAGGAGAGGAGAAGAGGATTTCCACTGGGAAGCAGTGGTCCCTACTGCCCAGAGGGGCCATAGGTAGTGGATGCTCTCGGTTTTGCTGGGGCAGTAGTTGAGTTGAACATGCACGGTCCCTGGGTTTTCTACCCCTGGACTGCCCTATCTTTTAAGAAGTGATGGACTGAGTATTGACAGTATTGACTCTGTGCTGGATACTATGCTATGTATTCTTTCTGTCCTTCCAACAACGCTGTAAGGTAAGAATGAGTGCCCCTATTTGAAAGCTTTCTTTCAGAAAACTAAAGTTTAGAGAGGTGAAGTGGTTTGCTTAAGATCACACAGCAAATTAGCAGAAGACCTGTGTGACATACTCTAGTTCTGTCCGTCATCAAAGTCATAGTGTTCCCCTATTTATGCTACCTCTTTACCTTGCTAACCTATACATAACTGAAGGTATATATGCACAGCATATATATATATATAACATAAGCATGGTGACATATAATTTAACCTATTTAAAAGATTTATTTTAAAATCCTTTAAATAATTATTAGCATATATATTCATGTATTATTATTCATTAATATAGTTCATGTTAATTATAGTTGAAAATACTAAAGCATATTTTAAAATTATGTAATTAATATTGTTGAATACATTGGAATGATATTACTGCTAATTTGAATGAATGATAAAATCATCAAATCAAAAATTTTCTGAGTCCTGTTATGAACAAACTACTGGGGCAAATAAAAAGAAACATGACTTAGCTAGGGAAGGTATTTAATAGTAATTACATTTAAGTGATAAGAAAAATTGCAAAAAAATTGCAGTTGATATGAACATTACCAATGTGATCAGAAGATGGAAAGAGCATTGCAGGTTGAATGGCTACAATTCATTCAGGAGCTTCATGGAGAAGCACTTTGAATTGATTCATGAAAATCATAAATGTGGGTCAGGTAGCGGTAATGGACACAGTATGGGGACCACTTTGGCAGTCTGTCAGTAGAATGTTTTAGCATGAATTAAGATTTCTGTAGGAGGCAGTGGGAAGGTAAATTGGGGCTATAATATGGAGAACTTTAAAAGTTAGGTTAATACATTTAAACAATGAAGAGTTATTGAATGTTGCAATGGTCATTCCTTACCAGATGGTTTATCTACCTCCACTCAAAGTACATCTATTGAGCATCAACTACTTGTAAGGCACTGTACTGAGTGTTATAAGAAAATAAAATTAACAATCACAACTTCTGCCCTCAAGTCGTTTGCAGTCTACATTAGATACATATAATTTCTATTGGAGAAAATATGTGTACATGAATGACTATTACATAAATCAGAATATAGGTAGAATTATAAGAGATGTAAGTGTAAACCAAATATTAAGACACAACAGGAGAAAAAGAATTAATTCCAGCTGGGAGGATCAGCAATGAGCAGGCATTTAAGTTGGTCCTTGAAAGATGGGGGCAACTTTGACAACACCTTCTCTCTATGAGGGGAACATGCTTTTTAAATAGGAAAACCAAGGACATAGGGGTAGGAAATTGCAGAACAAATTAAAGACCTAGAAAGTAGTTTAACTTGGCTAGAACCCAAAGTATTTAAGGAGGACAAGTGGGAGGTATGGCCAGAAATGGAGAATGAGGCCTGGACTTGAAGGGGCTTTAACACCAAGCTAAGAAGCTTGAATCTTTAAAAAAAAACCTTCCCTGGCATTCTCATAAGCACCTCCAGGGATTCATATTCTGGTAATTTATACACATATGGTGAATGATAAGAACTGTACTTTTGGGAACTAATAGGAAAGGACTGTGAGTGGGATGAATTGGGGAGATTACAGGCAGGAAGAACTTTGGGAGCCGTCATAATAGTGCAGGTGGGTCTATGAGGATTAGAGCTAGTAAGTTCTTAATTAACCTCTCATCAGTCTGCACTTTCCACATGGGCAATGAGAATATTAAATGGGAAACAGATTTCAAAAAGCTTTGCAGGGTATAAGAGGGTTCAAAGACTGAGTAGATGTGGGGATCAAGGTTAAGGAGAAATTAAAGATAATTTAATGATTTAAATCTTTAAAGGGTAATGTCTTTCTTAAAATTAAATAAAACATGAAGAAAGCAGAA